TACTGCCTGTTTTACAGCCCCTGACTGATATGGTATCAATCTCCTGCTGTCAATTCCTGTACTTTCATGCAGACCTAGACGACTGTGGTTTTGAAAGATGCTCCATAAAATTTATAGATGTTCACACAAAGATAATAGAGGCACAGCTAACAGTTTCTCAAAACATGAATTTAAAACTCTCAAGACCAGAACTTATGCATCATAAATTATGATACATACTAGTTGGATTTTAAATTATTTTATCAAAATACCTCACTCACATTTTCTCTTTTTCTTTGACAGGTTTTATATATGAAATATATTTTATTGAACATAAGTTCAAAATCTGTGATTAATTTTCTGTGCATCAGCACTGCAGAATGCATTGGTTTCTAAAGGCTGCACTGCATTTATCATAGCATGAATACATTAGGAATAAAAGAACAAGTCATACATACTCCAGCTCCTGGTTTAAAAAAGTAGGCACAGCAAGAAACAAAATTATTATGAGCTAAACCAAAAGTGCCTGATTCTTTTAAAAAGAAAACTTACAGGTCCTTGTGCTGAAATACAGAGTTGTCCTGTCCTTTGAAAGGTGTTAGGTTCTTGTCTGTGCCAGTTAGAGAATTTTCCTGGGGTGTTATCTGACCACTCAAAAACAACAGGTATGTCATAACTGTATAATCCAATCCATGTCTCTGTTACATTTTCTGTAAAAGAATGAATTCAGATTTTAATGGTGAAGTAATAAAACCTGTTTATCCTTTAACATGACAATACTATTAAAAATTATTAATGGAATTTTTGTTGGAATGTCCTTCTTACAGGAAAAAATTAAAGCTGTATAAACTTTAGGAAACCTTGCTAATGAGACTATGTTCTACTGCTCTTAAAAACTAAAAAATTTCAAAAATAGAATCAACATACATGATTATATGCTTTAAAGTAAAATTCTTGAAGTGCATGGGGCAGAAAAACTGACATGGAAGTGAAATATTTTGTCATATAATTTTCCATGCAACACTCAGCTTTAGGTTTCTCTGAGAGTTACAGGGTCCAGTGACAGTGCAGTTGTAGCCAGTGTCTGACAAATATAGGAGAAACGAGGCTTGCATTTTGATGTAAAGTCTTATTTGAACAGCTACTACAGGAGAAGAAGCACTCAGGCTTTCAGGCATGTAAACCTCCTGAGGAGAAGCCTGAAGCAGGCTGGAGAGAAGCAGCAGACTGAAGCTGAATACACGTTGAGAACAATTACATCTATCCATTACAGCATCCCTGCAAATAATGGTATTTGTTATCTATGGAGGGTCTTAACAGAGGAGAGGAAGATGGTGGAGGTTAATCTCCTCATCTCCACATGACACTCTGCTCCAACTCTGCGAGAAAAACTCACAACCAAACTGGGCAGCTCTGCCAGCACACTGGTGTCAGTGGCAGGCAGAAAATGTTCACTTTTCTTTGCTGCTGTTATGACAACAAAAGTATTGGCATTGCTGCATCAAAGAGCTTTTGTTGTTTTGCTTCTAAGCACAACTCTAGTATAAGGTTGATGACTGAATATTTTGCAACAGTTTGCAAAGAACCAGACAAGAACAGGAAAGGACAAAAGCTAGCATGCTTACTATGGCCTCACCGTGTCTGCTTCGTGGAGTCATATCTTTATTTTAGAAATGGTTATTGGAAAAGGTGACTCTATGCAGTTTTAAGACTCCTAGAATGGGCACGCAACATCATTTCTTTTTTTGTCAAACATCATTTGGGTGTGCCACGCAATACAGTGCTTAGATGGTAACAAGCGAAAGAGCTGCACTAAAGAGCGCCACAAAACTCTTCAAGACACATCTGCGCACTTAAACTCCCCAAACTCACCACTTTCAAGCAAGTTAACGAGCAGCTCTTCATCTGCCATGGAGGATATACTGATAAGCCTGCTGTTTTCACTTTGGCATGAGAGAGAAGCATCGTTCCAGCTCTTCTCCTCTTTATGAAGTCTGTAACAGTTCTGGTTGTGCGGGTACCAACCAACATCACAACGAGTGGCATAATACTTCCATGTATCTTCAAATGAGCACACAAAGTTCATATACATTAGATAGAATTGCCAAGTTTATGCTATGTCCATAACACAGTCAGAGATTTGTTTTTGAACCCTCAAATGCGGAAAACAGCATTGTCCAGGGTAACTTATGGAGGCCAAAACAGTAATATGAGCTATGGATCCACCATGAAAACTGAAATTCCTTCCAATTTATTTAATGATTGTACTGTTTGGGCTGCTGGACTAGTGCAAACACGAATTCAGTTTAAAACACAGTTTATTTCCCTGAACCTCTGAACCTGGTTCAAAGACAGATAATGCTTTTTCAGATAGCATTACCTACAGAAAATATGGATTGTCTTTCCTTACCACCTGAAACAAGGTGCTGAACTTTCTTTAAGTTACTAAGAAGAAGCTGAACCAATGTAAGTAGCTCTTGCAAAACCAAAAATTTATGTTAGAATAAACTAAATTCTGTTTTTAACTTTCTCACAGAACGGGGGCCTGAATCATTTGATGCACTATATATCCTATACTCCTTGTATAATGTATTAAATATTAATAATAATTGTATAATTATACTTGAAGTATAAGTACACTTTTTCAGTGTATCAAAAGTATAGCACATCATAAAAAACCCTGCAAATTTTGTGCTGCATTTTGCAGCTTTCTTCTCTGTGTGCCACTGGTTAATTCCATTCACATTGAAAACCTATTTTGGAACTCATAAATGTGGCTCTTTTTGTAATATAAAAAGAGAATGAGCATTCCGATGGTGTAAGGAATCAAGTAAATGATATTTGTATTAAAATTGTTTGTTCTAAGACTCTCAACATGTTTTCAAAGACTGAATTTAAGCAGAAGAAAGTGTTATTACGTCAGATAAAGTAAATTGTATTCAACTTGAACTAGAAAAGCCACACATTCAGTGCAGTTGTGACCTTGTTCTGCTGACTTTATGGTCAGGGGGCTTCTCTTGCTCTCCTTGCATGCCCACAAAAAGGATACAGTAACAGTGAGACACTTACCCAGCGTTTCATGCTCTGTCTTATTTAAATATTTTTTGCATACAAAAGGCAATCCAGATTCACATAGATATGTGTTCCAGCCATACTGCAATCTTGGATTAATCACTGCACAATGATTTTCTTTAAAACGCTTATCAGAGACATCTGCAAACACATTTTTGAGAAGCACAAAAATCACAAAAATCAGCTCTCAGCTGTAAAACGGTGTTGTAAGGTTCTCTGCAACTTCTTGAATTAATGCATACACATCCCTGCACACCAAAGTTCTAGAAATATTATACCAGTACTATAGACAGTTGAACATTTGCCATGAATTACATGTGTGGCAATGCCTCCTTGGCTGCTGCTCTCAGATGAGAGGCTGATACAAGCTTAGTGTCTATAATTGCTGGTGGACAGACTTCAAAATGTAACAAACCAAGTCACAAAACTCATGTTAATGTGCTAATGATAATTACAGCTTGTTAACATAAACAAACTGAAACTCCTTTCCTTCACGGAAGTAGCTGCAGTTTTTAAATGTGTGACTGGAACACTAAAAACATCTTTAAAAGTAAATGACAAAAGGACTGGACCGTTAATGCTCTGAAAAGATCGATCTCATTTGATGTTATATCCCTAGAAGGGCTTTCAGCTCATGAATATGAATAAATTTTTTTTTTTTTAAAAAAAGTGTATTTTTTAATTCAGCTTTCAAACACAGCTGTAGGAACAGCAGTGTTGTATCAAGCTGCAGTTATAGAGAGCATGTAAGTATGCTGCTGTAACATATGCAAGAGGAATATCAAGTACTTGCTCTCCAGTTCACAAACATTAGTGGTGCTCCATCTGACCACTGCCAGCCAGCGTCTTCATCCAGGCGATTCAGGCCCATCCACAGAACAAGGTCTGTGGAATTCAACTGCCCTGAAACAGAAAAAATAAACAAAGTAAAACCACGTGCTTTCCCCAAGCTTTAAAAGATCTACAGGCATAGACCTGCTGTCCTGACTTGTTACAATTAATAAAACAGAACTTCAAAGCAGTCTCCAGAAAGTTCCAGGCTAGTTGGCTTTTTTTTATTTCTGTCCTTAGAAAAAGTCAGTTACTTTGTTAATCAACACAGAGATGAAAAGGAATAAACTCGGAAACCTGAAATCCTTCAAAAGCCACTCATTCTGCAAACCTTTCCTGCACAAGTTGTTGCTGACCTTAGAAGTTAAATCTAGAACAAGAAGCTACATAAATGCTAGCCTGTTTACATAAACACTAACCTGTTTCAGCTTTTCATAAACCAAATAACTTTCAGAAACCTTTACAGCTTTGCAGGCACATCAAAAAGCTATCGAAATAATTTTTAAAACTTCCTGTTAGCTTATATCCTTCAATTGAAAACCAGCAATAGTGGGAAGCAATGGACAAGAAATCTGAAGCAAGCTTTGCATCAGAGCTCCACCACCCATTCCTCCACTTGATTTTCTCCACTCACACTAAAATACCCATGAAAGTCCTGCTTTCAGAAGGATCTGCACAATTTGTCTGAGACATTTGCTCCAAGTGGAACAGCAAAATACTTATCAGAGAAAGAGTAACATCCATTTATAAAGCTAGAATTTTTTTCCATACAAGACATTAACTCAAAGCCTGCAGAAATGTTGCCATCGTTCCCATTTGGTGAAGTCCAGCTTACAAAGAAAACTTAGCAGGAGAAAGGGACACCAAAGTACATTGTAGAGAAGGTAAACACATGTATAATTCTCCAAAGTGAACAAACACACTCCCTAACCACAGCTGCGGGATGAATGGGAATCTCTGTGTAGAGGGAGAATAGAAAAAATTACACCCTCAAGTGACACATACCACCACTACTACACTTCAGTTTATTAAGGTGGGAACTCACCTTCATCCTTGCTCTTTCAAATAGCCCTCCTGAGGCGTTTTACAAGACAAGGCCCCACAAGCAGCAATGGGAGAGATATCACACAGCGTATTGGGCTCCAAAGCTCACCCCTTTGCACAGGTAAGGAAGAATCTAACTACGGGTTTCCTAAAAGGTCCCCAGAGAAATGTCTACTCACTGCTTAAGTTACTTATGTAGTTCTGCTCCTCGGGGTCAGTGACACTGAGCAGGTCCCCTCCTTGCAGCTGACAGGCAGCCCGAGCCTCACGCCAGCTCAGCATGGACGCGAGGTTGAACTGGTAGCAGACGTGTGTGTTGGGGTTCCTCTTCCAAAAGATGTCACAGCCACTCTCTACTCAAAAACAGACTCATCACCAACTGCCCAAGACTCTAAACCAGCCAGAAACACAACACCTTCAACAATTTCATTAATTGATGACAGCAGGGTCCCAATGGAAGCACGATTATGATCACTGTTCCTGTTCCTTTGTTAATGCACGTAGGGAAATAAGGCACTAATGAACTAAAATGTTGCTCCAAATTTCATACAGTTGATAAAATACTCAGGAGCTGATGTGCAGCTGCTGGTGATTTTCACAACTCTTATGAAGCCAACACAGCTACATTTTAATTTATTCTGGCTAATTATTTGTTTCTAAAGCTGAATATTGAAGTATTCAAACTGGGAGCACCTCACTCAACTTGTAGAGCAACACCCACTGGGTCTCCTTGGACCTTGTACTCAAGAGAATAAACTTACTATCATTAAAAAGGATAAGCAAGGCTGCAAATACCATCTATTTTAGTGGCTGTCCAGAAACACCCACTACAAAGGCACATTTCCACTGCTTTTAAGATGCTTTGGAACAGAGATCTGAAATGTAGATTGAGCAGGAAAGACTTTCCCAAACCACTTCTACTGATAGGAGACACTATTTTGCTTATTTATATAAGAAGTAGGAATAGTCACAAATATTATACATCCAAAATCTTTTCATAGCAAGTATTTTTAAAACTATTGCTTTTTTGTATTTTAGGCCCAAGACATATCCAAGCAGTGCACAGAAGAAAAGGATTGTGCAAGATGCAATGCAGTCAAAAGCAGACCACGACTTTGGAAGAGCACCCCTCACATTATGTGCTCCACGAAAGCTGCCTGTTGATCACAGAGGGGTTTGTGCAGGGTAAGAGCAATGGGCTGCACAGAATAACTTCCCTCTGCTACCCCCGGTAGTTTTGCTGTTGCAATGAGGACTTAAGTCTCAAAGGTCAAACAGGATAAACTGTAACAAATTTGCTAGTCTTCCTCTGTGCTTTTTAAAAAGACATTCCCTTCTAACAGAAGGGAAGCAATCCAAAACCAGATTGTGTCCTAGTATTGCTAATAAAGAACGAACTCGAGGAGGAGGAAGAGAGAAGACAAGCAACATCTTACCAGCATTTGGGCAAAAACCCCATTTTTCATCTTGTTCATAGTAAGTTGTTGTGGCACACCACTCAGATTCCTTTCCATCTCTAGTACACTCATAATACCACTTGTTGTTAAATTTAAATGGAAAAACGCATGGGAAACCGAAAGAATTTCCCTGCAAGGTGTATGTTTCTGGAAAAAAAAAATGCAGAGATTGAAAGAATGCAGACCACAACTTTTTTTCTTGCCCCCATATGTTATTATTCGTGTTTTCAGCAGCAGTGATAAAAATAAAATGACTGAAGTGACTTTCAAATTTTAATTTATAATTGATAACACAGCATTACAAGTGTGAGCAGCATAATTTCAGTAAATAGAATGTGGAAATAATTAATTATGAAATTTGTCACCACAAGGCACATTCTTTTAACTTACTCCATTCACAAAAAAATCCTAACCCAAACCACAACCCCCCAAAGTCTGATCAATTAACAAAAAGTCTGGATTCACATTTCAGAACAACCACATAAAACAAGTTAGTTAAATCAGTACACACCCAGATGCTAATTCCACTTATTTATTAGTCTTTGATAGATGAACAATTTAACATTACTCCCCTGCTTCCCCCACTTGTTATAAAGTGGATTTCTAACATGCTTTCCACTCTTTTTGGGAAAGGAAAGGTACAAGACAAATGAATATTAAATAGACTTTTAAAAATAAGTTATATCCTGTGGAGAAAAATAACATAGCTAAAGAATTGATGCTCCATACATCTATTGCTACAATCAATGCCTCACAAAATAGTTAAATATTTTCCTATTGTACTTTGAGGACCAAAATACTGAGAGAATCCAGTGCAATTGAAAACTGTAGAAGCTTTACCTCAGTGAGTGTCTCCTAAACTTCAGAGCTTCTAAAAAAGGTCAAAGAACCACAATCACTCTTTGAATGAAATTGTTTAGCCAAGATTCCACATTGATAGCTTTAAGACCAAAGTCCTTCAACTACAGAATCAATACATACTGCCAGGTTCCTAGAGTTAATGGCTGGCTGTGCACATATAAAAGAGCAGTTTACACATTGTAAAGCTTCTTCTGATGTGAATGAACAGAAAATACAAGGAACAGGTCAAAAAATAGACCTGGATTACTTTTCTGTCTGCTTGCTATTATGCTGCCAGCTATGGTGGGATTATCTCAGCCCCAGCAAGAAACCAAATTCAATTGCTACAGACCTCTTACCAGACTTTCATATATATCTATATCTATATACATTTTTTATTTTTTTTTTTGCTTTGAAGGTAGTTATGCCTCCCACCCCTTGTTTGGTGGACTAACGAACTGGCTTGCCTTTGCATGTGCAGATGTTGCAGTAATAGGGCTAAACCAGGTCTATTTTCATCTCCCTGTGTGCACATGGCAAATATGTATGACTTTTCATGGATTTAAACTTTTTCTGTCTGGTCTTAAGTATAAATTCCATTAGGTTTTAAAAAAGAGGTTGGGCACTGTAGTACTTTCCCAGTTATCACAGGTCCCAAAGAAGGAGTTTGGTGAGAGCAGAGGCTGAGCTACACCTACAGGAGAAATCACTAAGACCAGATCTGAAATCCAAACACCCAGTTCAAGTGGGGAAAATCAACAACTTCAGTCTGAGACAGTGTGCAAACATCAGGTCTCTCCCTCTACAGAAATGCTGAGGAAGGGGTAAAGGTACAGGCTGTCTGTTGCTGTTTGAAGTCAGTGGCTTTACCTTAGTCCTTAAACCTGGAAAACTGTTCAGGTCTGCAGACCTGGATCTTGATGTACATTCCTATACCTTCACTAGCTGTACAGCAGCATTTATCAAAATTCTGATCTCTGTTTCAAAGTTTGGCATGTTCAGAGTCCAGGTGCTGAATGTTGCAGACATTGGTCCATGCACACTGCAATTACAGACTGATTTTCAGTGACAGGAATTCCCAATCCTTTCTTTGGGTTTATCTGATAATGGAAGCTGCAGGACAATCAACATAAAACATTTAGTAACCCTTTTAATTTTACAGGTGATTTGAAATGAGCATTTCCTGGTTTGCAAGGATACTGGTGGGTTTGGGGGTCAATTTAAAAAAAGAATATCAACTGTGTGGCATGCTCATCTCAAGCACTGCACATAGAAAAACCACACAAATTTTGAGTCCCAAACCGCAATAGAGACTGAAAGAGACCACAAGCACCTGACCTCCCTCTAATAGAACTTCTGAAACTTTTCCCATCTACACTTCTGTGACAACATTTTATTCTTACCTTGAAAAGGGTGTTCACAAATGTCTTCATCATAGGACATATACTGTTTCCATTGGCAAGTAGATTTTTTTTTGGCCACAATATGTTTTCTGTTTTCAACCGCTAATTTGTACTCTGATACCCCAACTAACGCTTTTCCAGCACAGTTCCACCATAATGAGTATTGAGTTGAGTCACATTCCAGCATAGTTAGTGGCTGTTCTGGTTTGCTGATGTTCAGCCCCAGGCAGGTGCTGCTGCCTATGTTGAAAAGACGATGGTTGGATACCCATTTCCATAACATCTCTTCTGAGAGCTGACCGCAGTCTTCCAGAACAAGGCCAGCTCTGTCCACTGTAATGCACAAGCTGGAATTTTCACTCTGGATAATAAATATCCCTTTTTCTGTTGGGGGAAGAAAACCCAATGAACTTTCAGTCTAGAGAATACTGCGATTGATTAAATAGTATTAAAAGATAAATGTTTTAATTGCAGCTATTTAGGAAGAAAACAGAAAATATCTATCAGAATAATTGACACTCCAAAAATCTAAGGAGTACTGGTCTAAATTTACTGCCAGCTGATTTTTCTAAACATATAGACTACTTGCAAGCCCACAAAAATAAAACCAGGTAATATTTCTCAAGTTGGATAGCCAAAAATAACCCCCAAACAAAAACAAGAGGTGCCCAAAACCATCAGTCATGTCTAAATAAAAAAGCCACTGGTCACCAAGACAGAGTTAAGGTCACATTAATGGAGCAAAGGCTGAAGGAACACAAGAAGTCATGCTGTATATTGCAAAATAATCCCCAATGTAGAGTGCAATTAAAGTAAAAACTAAATATTTTAAGACTGACATGGCCATATTCATTCTTTACTCTGCAACTACAGAGAAGAAAAGAAAGGAAATAATAGTCAATGGGACACAGAAACAGCAGGATTTATCTATATCATTAGAACTGGTGGCCAAGGGTTAAGATATGCCTTTCCTGTTTGATGCGTATCATTCAACTATCTGTGTCTACCCTCCACAAGAGCAGATGTGGGGCTAGCCTAACATCCCAGATTTTTTGGAATCACACAGAAATTCACTGAAATATGTGACATCATGTTATAAGTATGTGAAAAAAGTAATCTGTTTAAAGTCTTGGGAGCAAAAGTTTAACTGATCACACAGACTGAAAAAAAAGGGCAGCTGAGGAACTGGAAGTCAGCAAAATGTAAGCCTCTAACAGCTCAGCTACTTGATTATCTCAGAAATCCAATGGTAAATAATCCAGGGAGTTTTGTTCACATTATATGCGAGATATTTATTTTACACCTCAGGAGATTATGTGTTGAGAACCTGAGCAGCACATCCATTTTGCCTTCAGATTTTACAGTGATAGTTTCTGCCATGCATACTTTCAAGTTTCTGCAATTCACTACACCTAGCATACTGAAGCACTAACTATGACAATAAAAAATCCCTCTCAAATTGACATAACCCACAAATAAAATATGAGATGCAGAGGTCCACCCAGATGTTGTGTCTGAGTTTAGTGCATAGTGCTTAGGTGTGGCTCTAAAAAAGGAAGATGTTTCAAGCAGCACCTTGACAGTGCAGTGTAACAGGCACACGGGAGATCAGCTCAATAATATAATGTGCATACAAGCAGAACAGGGAGGACATGGATTATGGAGAGGTTTTTAGTCCTTCTGACTGGCAGCAGGTGAAAACCAGCCTGAAAACATGAAATTGTGTCTTTCAAGCACTTGGTAGCTGTCCTACATTAAGTCCTTAACCGTTTAGGGGTGAGCAAGTTTCCTTTGACCCATGGTAAGTAACTTACAGTTCTCAGGTGTTTGAACTCAGTGAAAATCCATTGGACCCTGCAAGAGATACCGAGATTGGCCCTTCGGTTTTGAGTTTTCTGTGAAGTTTTGAGGTTTGTACTTTCACCCTTCTTATCCAACCCAGTCCTCTAGGGGTAACACAGTTGTCTCTGCCTTTGTGGCCAGAAAGAGTTTCTGCTTCTCATGCTAAGGGTATGCCTTTTCCACATCAGTCTTATCTTTGCTGACCAGAAAATACACTGTTTTTTATTTCCTAGATAACGAAAAGCCATGATGTTAGCACTGATAAACACTGATTAATTAGGTTAATTCACCAGAATACTGGGATTCACATGTAGATTGTGAGTTTGACAGAGTTTGTCTAGATCATGACAGCATGCAGCAATTCCCTTACAGCACCTTCCTGGGGTGGGGGGAGCAAGACCACAACCCAAGGGTGAAGGATTCTCAATCTTTGAAAGCCTTTATCTGGAAGGCTCTTAAGAGTTGCAATGACTGCTGAGAAAAGATAAGGTTCTCTCACAGTGTACACAAATAACCCATCTGGATGATCTCTGTGAATAACGTCCCTTTTTCATTCTGGGGCAACTTGTGCCAAGAACAGCCAGACCATAATTCTTGAGTCCCCTTCCAAATGTGGTTTCCATTCCCCACATACAAAATGCAATTGGCAAGAGAGCCGTGCTGGCCTGAAGACTGCCAGGAAACAGCCAGCTCACCACAGAAGTAAGACATGAGAGACGGCAGGCTCAGTGACAGCTCCGGGAGCTCCAGCTCAGCTCTGTCTTCAAGCAGGGCAATGAGACAACTGGGGCAACATCAAGCCTGGGAATGCCTCCAGGCTCACCTCCTTTCGGTTTGCAAAGCTACACCATCCATTTTACAGCTGCTTACATAGATGAGTTTGTTACACTGTTTTTGTCTCCAGGTGTAAGAGTCTGTGGCCAAAGGCCTGCAGATGAAGAGCTGCAATGGAGCTCCGGGGCTCCAGAGGACCCAACGAGGAAAGGAGATAATCTATGCTTTAGAAACTGAATGGGTGAAGGGAAGTCTTTAGAAAAGCTCCGCTTCTCTGCATCCAGGCCCCTCCACACAAGGACAAGGTGACAAGAAACACTGAGAGAAGAGAAGCCCGGAGCTGATGTGCAGCCCCAGATGAAAAGCTAATTGCTGACCAGTAGCTCCGAGTTCCTGTTTACTTGGGCTCAACACAGCTAATCGGGAATAAACGGCTGTAACAAAACTAGGCGAACAAGATAGCTTCATTTCCTTCCCCCTTACCTCCCATTTCCTTCCCTCCAAAAAAGCAGTGAGAATTGTTTCTGTGATAATAAAGAAAGTAACCGGGATTTACTGGAAATGAGAAAAAAAAAAAATCTATCCCTATTCTCTCCGGGTGCACGGAGGGCGGCGATGGGCAGCGGAGCAAGAAGCAGTGAAGCCGGCAGGTCCCAGGGGCTCCGCTCCCGGACCCCGCTCCCGGAGCGCTCCCGCACGGCGACACGGGCTCGGCTCGCCCGGGGCCAAGGACTGTGCCCGGGACCCCGCCCTCCGCTCCCCACCCTGCCCAGNCGGGCTGCGGGAGGGGTGCGGGGCCGGTCGCGCCGGGAAATGCCGCTCGTCCAGCTCGGGCTCTCTGCCCACGTAGAGCTGTGGATTCAAGCGGATAAAATACTCCGCAATAACCTTAATTGCCATCTGAAAACACCTACTTTCTCTTGTTTGTACCCCAGGTACTTTTATCTTAAAAAGAATCAGAAAACACAGAGCCATTGGCGGTGGGAGGCCACCGTCAGCACAGTCCGTGTTCCCAAATTCGCTGTTCTGTACCTGAACATCCCCCCTGTCCCGGACCCCACTCGGACACTTGTGTTTTATGCTAGGTGAGCTTTGACCTAGAATTCATTTTATGTTTTGGCATGGGGAAAATTAATTGCCATCTTCCATTTCGTTCATCTCTGTCTTTGGTCGAATATTTGCAAGAGCTGCCCCCCTTGGGCTGAGTTTCAGACTTGCAGAAAGTCAAAAGCAGAACCTCTTGGTTAAAAATAGAGTAACTTTACGGGAATCCGCAGGAACGTTTGTTTTTAATCTGCAAAAATCATGTTCCTGGTGTGTTCTTTATGCGTGGCAGCCAAGTAAGTACATAAACATGTACATAAGTGTAAAAAACAAACACAGTGCTGGAATTGAGGCTGCTCCCCCATGTCTACTTCAATTATGATACAAGGATGGAAAACAGAAGTCTCTGGGCTTGGGAAAATTTCTTTCTGATAGTTTGGTAGAAGAAGGACTTGAGAAGCAAGAGAAAACAAACACTCAGAAGTAGATAGGTGGAAGGGTTTCTCCCCATTTAACAATGATAAAAGTGTCTGACAGAACAAACAGCAGGAAATACTTCTGCAGAAGCTGGTCTAGGAGTGGTCTGACTGCAAGGCAGGAGGGTTGTAACTCTCATGGAGCTGTCATGTACCTGCTCTCAGGAAAACTGCAGCCTTCTGAAATATTCAGATTCTGGGAGAGAAGTTTGTTAATGAGCCATTTTTGAAAATCTGGCCATTCAGACCTGTCTACATCTCTTCAGAAGAGTTTGGCCACTACTTTGAGTACTGAGCTCCAGAAAAGGGCTCTCTTGCTGGGTCACACTGAGAAATTCAGCTCTGTTCATGATAGAACATTTAAAAATAATGGTGCCAGAGAGCAAAAATGAGGCTGCTGAGGGAATGAGTCCCACTTCAACTGGATTTTTCTGCTGATGTCAGCAAGATCAAAGTAACCACATTCTGATTATTCATTACCAATAAACTTATCAAAGTATTTTTCTAAATATTTTGCTAAACGCAAATTAACAGCTTATTAATTCTAAGTGGTTTTCCTTGCTATTTTTTCTTTGCTACTGAGTTCTTTCTCTTTGACAAAACAATTTTTTACTGGCCTATATCTATTTTGTTCTGACAAAACTTCTAAATTCTTTCTAGTGCAATTATAGTTATACTGACCTGGCAATTTATAGTTAAGGTATACTTACTTGTTTACAATAATAAGACATCTTGGCTGGCATAATGGCTTGTAGAACCGACATGATTTGGAACATTTTCAGAAGTAAACTTGATGGCAGTTTAAAATACCTTGCTCATTAAATGAGCATAATAATAATTGGGTATAATTTCCCAATTTTGGGGGGGGTGGAAGGTTTAATTTGAAGCTTTATCTGCCTTCTTTAAGACTTTTGCTGCATTGATTTGGCTTCTTTATTTTATTTTCTGTCTGAAACCCACTTTCTGTAATTTTTTTTTTCATTTCTTTATTAATGGCCTGTTCTCTTCCTTTTTGTGAATACACATATATATACACACATACATACATATCTATCTTTGCATATATACATACACAAATGCACTTGTTTGAGCTGATCTGCTTTTGCTATTTAGGTACTCTACACAAATGTTCAATTTCTTCCTCTGTCTTTTCTTAGACTTCACCGTCTGTGTGAGATCTATAGAAAGATACAAATCCAGTGCATGTTCATGACCTGCATCCACAAACATAAGCTGTCATTAAATT